TTAAAGTTTAAAATTGTTGTTAAATTAATTAAATTAATTGTATACATATCAGATATGCGCATCATTATTTTTGTGTAAATTACGTATATGTTTCGTAGATTCGTATTCATACCACATTCTTCACGTGACACATAAAAATCATTCGACGCAAACTTTCCCGCGAATGATTGATCTCTTGAAAATGTTGAATCAAATTTTCCCTGTAATAATAAAACATCGAGAACATTTAGTTGTTATTAGGAATGAGCGAATTATTCACTTGCGATGCTTTGATTCCGTTTCTTAGAAGAATGATAATGCGTGAAACACAATAGGATGGTATTGTCAGCGAAAGTTTTGTATCATTATTCTCGTGAATGCTTTCGTTTTGTATGCTAAAAAAAGGGTACAAGTGAGAAAGGTGCACCAGATTCAGAAGGCAAAGTTTCAGAGACACGTAAGCAGCTCGAGAGATAGACATTTCTCGAGAATCCTGTACCAATGACAACAATTTCAAAGATGGCAATAGACAGCAGAAACCTTTTTTTTTTTTTAATAGAGCCCCATATGTTTATTTCTAGAGCCAAAAAAGTGTCGACAAAATTTTCCCTAGACAATAAACAAAAAAATCCTTAAATCCTTAAAACATCTTAGAACCACAGAAACCTAAAAGAATCCTAAAAAAAAAAAAATTGAAAATCAAAATTGAAAATCGAAAAAAAAGGAGGAAAGAAAAATAAAAAGAAAAAAAAAAGAGAAAACAGTCGTATTTTTTTCGTGTTTTTGTGGTTTTTTTTATAAATTTTTTTTTTAAAAAATGTAGCTTGAAGTTTCATCAAAAAAAATTAATAGTCTGAGTGAGGTTTTCTTAACCATAGGAATTTAGAAACTCTTAGGAACTTCCCAGAATAATGTTTTTCCAGGTAACCATATGTGTATTGTCTGCATAATGATAACCGGGCGTGAACGTTCACAATAAAAATCAACAAACTGAGATGGACGAATACACATATGTTGTTTCTAAGTTCATATCTTAAAAAAAAAAAAAAAAAGGTTTGGCATAAAAAAGAAACTTGTTTTTAATTTCAGTGTCAAAGATCGGAGGTTGTTCAATATCGTCATCAAGAAGTCATTATTGTCGTCTAACTTTCCCGAGAGGTGGAAATCGCGTATGAGCCCGACGACAAAGCCGAATCAATCACGTAATATAAATCGTTTGTTATGTCGCCGACTTCGTATTCGCCGAAAGTTGGAGAATGTGACGAAGATTCGTCAGAGAAAGGTTGAATGGGCGACACGGCAGGTGAAAGGTAGAATTTTGGTGATTGAGCGACCGGTTCGTGATTTTCCAAATTGGGAGGAAACGAGAAAGGTTGATGTTCATAGAAGTGTCTTCGGATGCAATTCAAGCAGGTCGGAGAAAATGACAACGCGTTTTCGGAGCAGGGGGTGTCCAAGGCGGGTGAAGGAGGCATTGGCCCAAACATTTGTTGCTCGGGGAATGTAATACCAAGGTCACACGTTATGAGGGAGTCGTTGTCGGTTGTTGATGAACGGGGCTGTGAATGATGAATGACCTCGGGGATGGCATCACGAAGTGGTTCGTTCAACCTCGAAGTCCACGGAATAAATGAAGTGTCTTGGACGTAACAATTTCCTTGTTGCTTCACCAATGGAGTATCAAACGTGGACTCAGGTATGCTTGATGTGATATTGTTGACGGAAGTGTCGGCTTCCAAAGAGTTCCCCGATCTTATTGAGGTGTTTCTTACATCACAATAACTTCTTGGATTTGAGAATGTGGAAGATGATTCCAGAAGTCGATTGTATTGAGAGATATCATATTTGGAGATGGAGTCGTTACTTTTTCTTTGCGTCACAATGGAAGCATCGGTGGTTGTATAGTCATTATAACCTGAATGTCGTTGCGGAGTTGGAAACTTGTATTTTATTTCGGGTTGCGCGTTTGCGGCTACCCGCACATACAATTTTTCGGCTTCGCTTGAAAGTTGAGTGTAGGCGTCCTTAACACATTCAGGTTCTTGCTTCCATGATGCAGCAATCATTGGCGACAATTCAGTCATTGACAGATGAAGGTCCTTGGCTTTGAGAAATTGAACGTACTCATTTCTGTAAAGTATGAATGCGTTCGGAAATCGTGCCAGCTTTGGCTTGGAGGCAAGTTTCGCCACCATCTTTTGGAGGTCGATCTTCGGAGGGTAAGGAAGCGGCAATGGCGGTAAAACTCCTCGAGGCTTATTTATTGATAGTTTGATCTTTTGTTGCCCCCGTTGAAATATTCCATTCTTCTTTTGAGGCTTCCTTGTCTGTTTCATACTCTGTGTCATTATAATCATTTTTATTAAAGTCGTTACCAAAATATGAATTAAAATTTTACTCAAAAAGAAGAAAAGAAGAAAGGAAGCTGGAACAATTTCTCGTTTTTTTTGTCGCTCAAGGGATAAAGGATGCTCAAGGACTGTCTATTTATTTGTAAGTAAGTTTTCGAGATCTTGATTGTATCATATATGTATGTATATACTATAGTGTCACTCATTATAATCACAGATAACATGAAAACAAAAGTTAACTTGATAGAAATGCGCTAATCTATCTTTAGGATGGTGTGACGAATAAATGTTATTTCTGGACAAACATAAATATTTACACTATTAACGAAAATCTATTTATAGGCGAGGTGAATCGATCAGATCAGTTGCTTCATAAGGCAAAACGTTTGTCGGACTGGTCGGAACCTCGACCGAGTCGGCTGCAGTGCAGAACAAACGGTATCACTATAAAGCTTCTTTTAGAGATGTTTTGAAAGCGTGCTCCCTCATAACACATACCATTAGGGGACTCTTTGGATATTTTCAGCTCACGCTTTCTCCATAACCATTTGTGTAATCGTCCGACCTAAACTGCTGTTATCTATAAAAAGATAAAGGATAATGCGACAGATCGATAAACATTGTAACATATAATAGACGACAAATAGTAGGTGCATGAATAGATTATTTAATTAATTGTTCCAATATTCGTAACATTAATGAATCAATTATGCGTAAACGATTCTTCCCATGTGTGGTGGGGTGTTGAAATCTTTTCTAAAAAATCACGATTTCTAATTTAAGAGGACATCAAAGGGTTAATTAGCATAATCACAATATGATGCTTATTATAGAACCACCGAGCGCAAATTAAATAACTAATTATAAAGTAGTCATGTCTTTCTGGCGAGCCTAAAAAAAATCATTGAAAAAATGATGCGTATTTTGGGTTTATTTATCCGTGCTTCTAAATATGTAGCCAAATAATTAATTCGTGTAATATACATGCAGTGCCACGGGTTATATTACAGGAATGAATGATTTTACTAGAAGCAGATAACAATTTCCGAAAATTTTTATTTGTAGGTCAACCGGTAAAAATAGTATTTGCTTTTTTTGATTTTTTTTTTTTTTTTGATTTTTTTTTGATTTTTTTTTGATTTTTTTTTTTTTTATGGTTCATGTAACTGCCCGGATTTTTTTATTTCAACGCGTCCCATTTATGCGAGCTTTTTAAAGATACTCATAATGATTTCGTGGGTAACGGAATAGCATTCAGAAATGTCAGATGGATACGCGGACAGGAAGAAGCTTTGATTGCAAACACGTTATGCGTAAATCATTTCACGACATTGACAAAAAGAAAAAGTTAATTTTAGAGGAGGAATCCGTCTGCATTTTCCTAATTGAGAATCCTGCATCTCTCTTTTTTTTTTTTTCAATTGAATTACATGTCATGATCCTTTGCGATTTTCAAAAACAATGCAAATGACCTTAGCGCGCAAAAATTCATCATTTGATCTGCTATCGAACGCATACACACACCCTAACAAATCACGTCAAATCTTTGTGCGCAATCTAAAAATAGAGGCGAAACTCTGCTAAAAAAAAAAAATTAAAATTAAAATTAAATTAAAACTTGGGATGTGTGGTCAAAATTGGTTGAATGATGCCAAAAAATTCGTCAAAGAAAATAAATTTTTGGTGGTTTGGGTGTGGCGATTAACAATTGCTGGTGATATCTTGCATCCGAACCTTATTCCTTTCCAGGAATACCGTGCATCTGGAACATTATGTTGGAAAAAAAAAAACAGGTTTTTAATCTTGTTATTGGAAAGATAATGCCAGCAACTAATACTACCAATGCTACAAATATTGAAAATATTGCAAATATTGAAATTACTGCAAATGCTACAAACACTAGAAACACTACAAATACAGTGTGAACCTTCGGGTTGCAGAAATCTCAGGCACAATTAAAAATAAGCATCTTGTTCCTAAAATAGACCCTAGGAAATATTTTTATCATTCTTGTCACAACCTCAGACGGTCAGTACAATAATAATCGTTATGTATTGTGAGAGGAAAACAAACTATTTGTAGCGAAGATTATCATTAAACTACACCCCGGGCGACATGAGGGTGAAATGTGCTATAATTTTCTCGCTTATGAAATATGCATTTTTATTTACGTGCTAACTTTTTTTCTACTAGGACTCCTTTTGGAAAAAGGAGGTCCGACAGGAGACCAGCACGAGCGATCTGTGTAAATCACTTAAACCCGTGTGATGTTAATTCACTGTTCTTGTGCAAAGTCGTATTTTAAAATACCCTAGATAAATCGTTGAGGTTAATAGAAATAACATAAATCAAGAAACAATGCGTGAGCGCCTTTTTCTTTAATTAAAAAAAGTACATTTATATGACAGGAAAAAATGGGCGCCTTCATTTGTCGTAAACTTTAATTTGCACAATCGATGTTATGTGTGACTTTTTTTTTTTTTTTTTTTTTTTTTTTTTTTTGGAGCATTACATCCAAAGATATTTAGGCGCGTACGATGCATGTTGTAATTCTATCGATAAACTCTATTCGATGAGAGCTATTCTCATGTGAACGTACATATACATTAAAGAAAAAAAAAAAAAACGAAAAAAAAATTTTTTTTTCCTTCTTTTTTTTTTAATGTATTGTCTATAAATAGAAATTGAACAAAAGACACTTTGTTCTCGGGCATGCAAATTGCGCGCATCACGTGATACACCAGACTAAATTTAGGTTAGTGGAATAATTTGTATTATTGTTGGTTGTCCAGTCAACTTTTCAAGTAAAGATTTTCGGAATTTCTTAAACAATGTAAATTATAGGATCAAAAATTTTCACTTTATGATCTTGAAATAACACGTTCTAAACGTCCTTGTCCTTATTCATCCGTAATCATTGTTCGGCGTTCTGCCAATTGTTGCGGGCACGTAATATTGTGAAATTTCATCCAATGAACATCAAGTATGATTGCATAATCGCAAATGCGATTATGCCTTCCAGATCGGACAGATCAAGGCCACACACGTGCAATATGGAACCCCATTAAGCGATCCAAAATGAGGAAAAGACATGGCATGTTCGCCATGACAAATCGGTAGAATCGACGTTCACTGCCGCTTTGTTTTTGCAGGAGGTAATGACCCACAGTTGGTGCGGCGATGGAGAGAAGGAAAGATGAGCCTGCTAATCCTAGAAAGGGAAAAGGTGAAATGTGTCTACTAACGCTAGAAGGAGAAAAAAGGAAATAGTTTCATTGGCAAAAAATTTATCTGATGCTTTCAAAGCAAATAGGATGCCATTGCTTGAATATTTGCTTTTTCATTTAAATCTTTACCAATAATCAAATATTTATCATCATTATTGTTAATCTAATCGACTCTGGTTTATTGATATTTAATTTATTGAGTTCGCTCTTACCATTGATCAAAACTGGTTGGTACACTATTTGACTTAAAGCATGCATTATCAAATCCATTTGCCAATTTAATATATTCTGAACAAAATTTTTCACACGGACATTTTTGATAAATCAAAAAATTTTTTTCTTGAAATTTATAAAAAAAAAATATATTTTTAAAATTATCTATATTTAAAAATAAAATGTTATTTGCAAAAAAAAAATTCATTGTTTTGTTATTTTTTACAAATATGAAAAAATCATACGAGATTGTTATTTTTGATTAAAGTACTGTATATCTATTTTCTATTTTTATTTGTGATAAACACACTGTATAAACGTAAACAAAATAAAAACCTTTTAATTTAAAATTCAATGAAACTAGGAAATGGGAACCATTAGGGTCCGAAGCATTAGTTTATTATATATATTTATTGTTTTAATTATATTTTTTAAACTTTTTATTTTTTAAAAAAATTTATTTGTCTAATATTATTATTAATATGCATGATTAATATACATACTATGATTTCAAACTATATAATTAAAAATATTATCACTTTTCGGTTCATTATCTCCCTGATCTTATAATAAAAATAACATTAATTAAAATATTATAAAACCATTTATAATCTTTTATACTGTTATTTTTAAAAATAATATAATTATTATTATTATTATTTTTTTTGCCTCTAATCAGACTGCAAATGGAAGCGTTTATTAAATAATATAATTATTATTAAATAATGACATTTTTGAAAAAGATTGAGGTTATTCAAGTAAAAAAATGATGATTGAATCATATACTGTAATTCACAATAATTCATAATTGACCTTACTTGAAAGAATCTTTATTATTTTTGGTATTTCCAATACTCCTAGTTACTATTAGGTTTTTCGAATAAACTTTCAAAATAATATTCTATTTAGAGAAACACTATGCTCACTACCTTTTCAATAGATTTGATGCTTCGCTTGTGAAATAGTATCTTAAAGGTCTCGTGTCTATTATAAGAACTAGAAGCGAGAATCAGACTTTTTGATTCACTTTTGCACCGCGCTTATTCCATCCTCTTACATCTAGATGCTATTGATTAGAATAACCTTTAAAACAAGTAACGACACGCTCAAAAAAATTTCTAATTAGCTGTTATCCCAGTCTAACAAAGACAGATGGCAGGCGATAACTCGTACGAATAACCCACAGTGACTCGTAAAGGTCCGAAATTCCTGTTAATACTATTTACTTTCCAGAAGCATTAGAGTAATATAGCAACATCTTCGAGGACCATTCTTGAAATTCACACCACCTTATTTCAACGTCGACTTTAAGAAAAAAACCTTACCCCCCTAGCGGTTAATGTATGAATATGTTTGGAAGCCATCTCCAGATATATGGACGTATTTTCAAAATTGAACGAAATTATTGCTTATGCCTTCACATTAGAACGAGGAAAAAAAAAAAATGGATGGGGACGACCAATGAAATTGTGATGATCATCACATCTGATATCAATGACGCGTACCAACATTCCAAGGCTTTATGTTCATAAGTCTATTTCAATTTTCACTTATTTAAAGATATTTTTAAGAACAACACAATCTATGATGTTCATACCAGATACACTATAAAGTGAACAAGTTGCATCGATGGTGCTCTTTTTTATACTATGCATGCCAAAACTTCTCGAATATTTTTTCAAGAATTATTTATGAAATGATATATTGTATATTTATTTTATTTATTATTTTTTGACAAGCATTAAATGCCTAGATTTTATTAAACAAAATGTTAGTGATCGATACATTAATGATCTTTATATATTGTATATTTATTTATAATATTTTTTGAATTTAAATAAATAAATAAATTTTCTTAAAAATAATAATATACAATAAATAATATAATCTGTGTACAGTAAATATATTTATATTATATATTTTTTATAATTTTAATTAATAAAGTATGTTAAATAAATTTAAATATATTATATGAAATTATATTAAAAAAAATTTTTTTATATATTATATCTTGACTAATATTTTAAATTATATAAATTTTTTAAAAAATAATTATTATAAAATTATTTTAATACAGTATATAAAATAAAAGTTGAATAAAAATTTTTGTAATAATAACTTAATTTAAGAAATAAATATGTTTTTTATTTCTATATTTAAATACTTATTATTTATATTTAATATCAATTAAAAATAATTTATTTGTTACAATAACACTTGTTAATTAATTATTTATTACAAGATATATATTTTTTATAACAAATTAAATATTAAATTATTTATAATAATTATTTAATATATTAAAAAAGAATTTTTAAATAAGTATAATAGTTAATTAATATTAAATAGTTATAAATAATTATTTAAAATTAAGATATAATAATTAAAAATTAATTATAATAATATTCTAAAAAAATATTAATTTTAAAATATTGTTATATCTAATTTTTGCTTTAAATTGTTTTTAAATAAAATTTTTTTTTTTTTTTTTTTTTCGGGTGAAAGATGCTTTGTGTATATGCATTTTATTGAGTAATTTATGTCCAATTACAGATACACTAAGGTCCATTTAAGTTAACCTCGCTTTTACACCTATAGACTTATCCAGTTATACCAATTGAACACCTTGAAGGTGGATCCGTACTCTAGGTGGGATCTTTAGGGGATAGAAAATCCTACCACTAGTTTATAAACTATCTAACCTAATCTAGATCCTGTCTCG